GTGTATATACTTTTGCGGCTTCACTGGCCGACCGAAACCCGTGAATGATGGTTTCCATGTGGTGATTCATCCCAACAATGGGTTTGCTATTGACTTTGGTATCATTTTACATAATTGGCGCATCCAGAAACATGGAAGGTCAACCGAACCAAACAAGATTAGATTTCGAAACAGTAAAAAAGAGGCTGAGAAGCATAGAATTATTGGTCTGGAGACCTTGGCACCTATATAAACATTCTGTTTCTTTGAACCAATTTAGGGTCACAAAATTTTGACCAGTAACAAGAATTTAGGTTGTTTGATCTCAGTATTTCAGGGGCTGGTGCCAACCCAGGCATACACAATCCACCACAACAGACTAAAAACCAGAAAGTGGAGTGAGATACATCCCATTGATATGCGTGAAGCTCAAGGGAGATCACCAAAATGGTGTTTTGTCAAGACGAGGGTTTTTCCTTTATGAAATGATGGCATATCATTGCATGCTCTAGCAGGACAACAGTTTTTGGAGATTTCACCAGTATCTACTTGATGATATCTGATGTTTTCTTGCGAAAATAAACACAGTAGAGTCAAAATTGAGGATCCCAAAATCAAAAGGTGCATTTTTGATAAATTTTTGTATCTATTAAATCATGCTGGTGATTGTATCGGGTTTCAAATTTTCGATTTTTCATCCACTTGATGGTTGGGTCTTTACTTGTTGTTGCTGAAGTGCCCTTTTTTTATTCCGCAGGACATTTGGGTGGAAGATTGCTCCGAGGACAGTCACGACAACCTGGATGATGGGGGATTTATTTGGAACCACGCATGGTTAATTTCCGTGCTAGGGCTGCTAGGGAACCACGGATCTCACCGTTGTGGTCAATTCTTGGGTCAAAATTAAAGGCCCAGTCGGGAGCACCTATTTTGGTCGGTTTTGATATCCGGTTTTGATCCACATATTTTTGTTTCCATTTTGTTTCCATTTTGTCTGGTGTGTGAATCATGAAAATTGGATCACCAACATGAAGATATTGTCAGCAAAATTCAGGAAATCCCTTGTTGGGTAGGTTGAGAGGTACTTCTTATGTAGGCATATCCAGCGTTTTCTCTTTGGCAGGATATCCAAGGTTGGCGACCTTAGGGTGAGGATATATGTTTTGGTTTTCGGCATCAGCCCAAAAACCTCGGGATTTCAGCATCAAACACAAGGATACACACCCATCCACTAAAACAATACCGGGTGATAACAGGAACACAAGCATACTGAGTATGATGGGCCTATGGCAGAAGGAATCCTCGGAGACTTTTTGTACCCCAAAGTTGGATCATAAACTACCCGGCCTGGTAAACAGCCACATAGCGAACTTGAAAATGGCCATAGAAATAGTTGATTTACCCATTAAAAATTGTGATTTTCCATAGTTTGTTGTAAACGTTTACCAGAGGGTAGCAAGTCATAGATTTTGATCCACACACACCCAGGACCCCAGCAATAAAACAGGGGAATATAGCCAACGAAAATCAGTTGATAGATAGAAACAGGAACATTGGCTGGGAAAATATTGGTATTATGATTGTTTGTGACCATTTGACATCCAAGATGGAACCCCAAAAAAAGAAAAATTGGGAAGATTTTCTACTGGAAGTAGCAGATTAAACATGCTGGAATCTAGGAGGAGTTATCTCCGTTCACATTCCCTTTTATCCCAGATTGAGTTTAGGTAAGGACACCATTGCAGGACACCCCCCATGTGCCCTAGAGATGAGCAAGATTGGCACTGGTGAATCCCATGTACGACGGTTAGAACATCGCTGCAAGCTGGGGCTATGCTGTTCCATTTTTATCGACAGTTGCTAGTTACTAGTTGGAATCAACATCTTGCGTCAGAATAGTCAGATTTGCGTCCGAAGAAAACAACAATATTTATTTTTTTGGCATCAGAGTGAAAGACACCTATATATGTACTTCCCAGCTCGAGTGGAGGGAGCATGCAATCATCAATTGAATTCTGGAAAGAGCCTTTGGGGGCTCAAAGGTTAGTTGTTCCCTACAATTCAAGGCTTGCCCGCCCCGAATTTCGAGGCCAGAAGTGGGCACAGTTGCCCAGATACAATCCTAGACAATACCATGCTATGGGGAACATCTATGATTATGTATGAATTTGTGGACATATGGTATATGGGTTCTGCCAATAAAAGCATATTAATGAACATCTACCCTTTGGAAATTTCATGTGGAATGTTGTGGAATATGGTCCATGGCGGCGATGGATTGGCCCCCAACAGGTGACCAATGGCCGCGGGTGGCCGCGGGATACGCGGGGATTACGGGGACCTGTCAGAAGGTTTGTGAGATAAGTTGAGATAAGTCATAAGAAGATTTGTATTGTCATATGTCAGAAGATATGTGAGAAGGCGGGATATCAATAGTTCAGAAGATTTGTCATTGCCATTGCGCAGAAATTGTCATATGTCAGAAGATATGTGAGAAGGCGGGATATCAATAGTTCAGAAGATTTGTCATTGCCATTGCGCAGAAATTGTCATATGCCAGAAGATATGTGAGAAGGCAGGATATCAATAGTTCAGAGGATTTGTCATTGCCATTGCGCAGAAATTGTCATATGTCAGAAGATATGTGAGAAGGCGGGATATCAATAGTTCAGAAGATTTGTCATTGCCATTGCGCAGAAATTGTCATATGCCAGAAGATATGTGAGAAGGCAGGATATCAATAGTTCAGA